CGGATGCCGATTACAGTTTTACCAAGCCTTTTAATCCTAAACTGTATGCCTCCAGTTACTGTCCACTTCCTGGTCAATGTATAAGTGTCACCTCATCAGAGGTCGCCCGAGTGGTCGTTTACTTTCTCACGGATACCGCTCACTAATGAGCGATGTTCATCTTTTTCAACGGGGCGAGCAACAGGCCGTGCTTGTCGGATTCTACTTTTTCGCGTGGACGAAATGAAATTCTGCATGACGCTCATCTGACGGAGATTCTGATTGCTCATGTAGTCACGAAAAAGCAGCTGTTTTCGCTGAATCCACATATAATCTGATAATCTAAACAACTAATATGTATTCACATTTGTGCTTCTTGTTATCGATGCAATAGGCAACTTTCTTCTCCCGTTGGTTCTGAATTCGTAATCTCATTCAGGCATTTCTGTGTTCTTTTACCTGTGTTTTTTGCCAGTGTTTAAGAATTGCTTGGGTACCACTCAATAATCCGCTTGTCTCTTGCTTTCCATGTTCCCCACTTGGCTAGTCCAAGTTTTCCTCTTAGCGCATATTGTTCGAACGGAACCTTCAAAATCAAAATTAAGCATGAACTCGGTTCTTGTGAATTTGTAGATTTTGATGGCGATGATCAGCTTGGACACGATGATCTGAGTAAAATGATCCGTTGCCTGACCAGGGATGAACTGTCGGACGAGGAAGTTGAATTCATCATTGAAAGGGTAAGTGCTTTTCCCCGCATTTCTTTTTGATCATAGCCACTGTAATCGCTGTGATTTGATCCCAAACTCCTGACGGCGGAAAGTCCAGCTCATGAGGAAGCATGGATTAACTTAGATCCAGAGAAAAAAAGCAAAAATTAGGAAAAACTCAATCTTAAGAACTCAAAATAAAGCAGCACTGCGCGAAAAGATTCGTTCCCCATCCCAGCTAACAGCAGACTTTCCTGTTTTAGGTGATCGAGGAAGCAGATTTGGATGGCGACGAGCAAATATCATATGCCGAATTTGAACATGTCGTCTCACGCTCCCCTGATTTCATCCGTACATTCCATATTCGGATATAGTTTTAACTGATAATTGAATGATAAGCAGTTTTTATGATCTAGACATTTTTGTCCAACACGAAAAATAAACCGGAATCGTTGTAAAAAATTATGAGTAGGAAAAAAGCTTCTGTGAAAACTTAAAAATAGATTATTTTTTCGCAGCAAAATCTGGATATAAAAATTTTTTACGGTATTTAATACACTGCAAAAAATTAACTCATTTTTAAGGACAAAGAAATTTCCCGGGTGACCGACTTTTGAGCAACAAAGAAGCCAATTTCGTCACTCATTTTGTGGAAAAAAAGTGACCGGCGTGGTAGAGTTTTGATGACAGCAACCACCGCGTTGTCTTCAGCCCGCTTCTTGAACAGTTCTCCTTTCCTGAGAACTACTTGAGAAGTAAACTGAAAACATTTCACTTCTTGCTCTGGTATGTTCAACCTGCGGCAACTGAAGCCATGAGATTTTGGGTAAAAAGCTAAAACTAAAGAAATGAAGCGAGTCTTACTATCATGAACAAAGCTTGCCACCGGACGATGCGGTACTGGCCAAAGCAGATGGAAAAGGCAACAATTTTCGAAGCGCAGAACAAAACTGTGAATTCCAGGCATTCCGATTAGGTAGGCATATTCAAAGTCCAGGAAGACAGCACAGCCTAAATTTGACCCTTTCCACTTT